CAATGGGAAAATTATTAGTGCTAATGCAGCGCATAAAATTGATACAACCGAACTGAATGCGAAACAAATTGAGACATTCAAGGTATGTGATTATTATTATTATTATTATTATTATTATTATTATTATTATTATTCGTAATTGCTTTTTATCGGTAATAATAAGAATGAATTAAAGGGTGAAACGTTGTTGGATCGGCAGGGAAAAGGCAGTTACGAAGAGTTAAGTATCGTTAAGCATGGCTTGCCTTCAGCATCTGGATCACCCCCGCCGATACCACCAAAACGAAAGCATGTAGTTCAATATATGCAGGTTTGTTTATTATTGTTATTAATTCTTATTGTTATTAAAGTACTATTATTTGTTACATTTATTGTCATAAATTTAAGACGTTTGGTGATAAAAATGACGGTGAAAAAGATGATTTTTTCAAAGGATCAACATTGGCGTCGTATATTTTATTGAATGACAACTTGAGATATCACGAAGAGCAGTACAGAAAACGAATATCGGTGGAATTTTCACGATCGGGAGGTGAGTGCTTTTATATGACTGGCTTCTTGTGTGGTGTGAGGCAGAATTATAGAGAATATGTTTGCGGTTTTATTTTGGTGTGATAATAGCGATAGCAATTGTTTTGATTGATTGAAGTCGGTAGTGATAGAGAGAAGAAGAACTGGTATTGTAAATGAAGTCTTAATTAATTAGCGAGGAATGACATTGAACCGTTGTTTTTATTCGTTGAGGAATGCATGAAAGAGACACAGAGAGAAGTTTATTGATATTCGTGTGTGTGAATGCGTTTGTCATATGCATTTAGATAATTAAAAGTTTAATGAATTCTGAAGAGAATCTACTCAATTAGGTAATTAAATGTTTCTGTTACAACCGTCACCATCAACATTTGATGTACCATACGAATGGTATATCAGAGAAATTGCATTCGGTGAGCATTGTTAGAGTGGTTCATTACTATTTTACTTTACAAGTAATCAGTTAAGAAACTTTGATTTTAGGTGCGTCAGTACCATCGCAGGATTTCTCGATCTTGAGTCAGTTATTGCAGTATTCAGATCATGATCAGATACGTCTGCCGACTCGTTATACAGACGAGGTTCGTATTAGTTGTGTTACTTTTATAGAGCGTGCCGATCGATTATTATTATTATTATTATTATTATTGTTATGTTATGTTATTTATTATAAGGTAGAAGAAGAGCAACGTGCCATCACCTATCCACAATATCTACCGATAACTGCATCTCCAGGCGTATTAGAAAGTTTGGATGTTTCTGAATGGCTTGTTTTAAGAGCTAAGGATGCTTATTCTAAACCGAATGAGGTGAATTTTTATTATGATTATTATTTTGTCATTATTATTGTTATTATTATTATTGTTATTGTTATTATTATTATTTTGTTATAACAGTAATAATAGTAATAATAATAATATTTAGGTACGTGGTGGCCCAAAGGATGCCTTAATAGCATACGCAACGCAGCAAGCTGGATCACTGCTTTATCAGGAAGCCTTTCTGACGACATATCGTACGATTGCGTCTTCATTAGAACTTTTTCAGAAGCTTGTTCGAAGGTTTTTATTTATGGTTTTTAATGATTGTTTTGAGCGAGTGTGAGGTTGTTATATGAGTAAATTTAGATATGTGTATATGTGTAGAGGTGAGGATCATGCTTCAATAAAGTCAGCACGACAAACATTCTCGGTGATCGTTCGAGTGGTCGATGAGCTGTGTGCTGTGGAACTGAAACGAGAGCTGTTGAGGGCTGTCACTTCGTTTATTTATCGTTTGATTCGTGACGGAAATTATACTTTTGCTCGTATTTTGAGGTATTGTTTTTATTGTTATTATTGCTGTTGTTATTATTATTATTGTTGTTGAATGGTGATTGTAGGAAACGTTTGATGTATCGTATCGAGCATAAATCCGTGATACGACGATCGATTTGGGACGAGGTGTCGGTTGGAGGAGCAGGCAACAAAGTGTTGAAGTAAATTGTTGTTGTTGCTTTGTTGAATTGATTGAGGTTGTTGTCCATTTAAGAGCATCGACCATTTTCGAGTTCCGTTCGAGTTTGGTGGCGAAGCAGATGACTTATTTAGATGCGGATCTCTTCCAGAAAATCGAGGTTTTCATTCGTTTATTATTATTGTTACTGTTATTGTTATCCCGAGTGGTGATTGTAGCAATATGACTGAGCCTGAGCCAGGCTATTTATTATTATTATTATTGATATGAATGTTATTCAGCCGGCAGAAATGTTGTGGTGGGCAGAAGAACAAGACGAGAAAAAGAGTCCGAACTTGTGCGCATTTACAGAGCACTTCAATAAGGTATTGATTGATTGATTGATTGATTGATTGATTGATTGATTGAGTGTTGTTTGTTTATTGTTATTTATTAATAGGTGTCATATTGGGTGCGCACACTGGTGATCCAACCGAGCGAACAGCGTTTACGTGAAAAATACTTGATGAAGTTCGTGAAGATTATGAAGGTACTTTTACATAATTAGATGAGTGCTCTTATACAGTAACTTATACGAACTTCTGCTGCAGCAATTACGGACAATGGGTAACTATAATTCATACTTGGCAATTCTATCGGCGTTGGACTCAGGACCGATCCGACGTTTGGACTGGACAAGGAATGTTATGGAGATGCTCAAGGAACATTCGACGATTATGGATTCGTCGCATTCCTTCAAGAATTACCGAACTTTATTGGCTGAAAGTCGACCACCTTGTTTGCCGTACATGTGAGCAGTTATTTTTAGTGTTTGTTGAATAGTAATAATAGTAGTAATAATACTGATACAGAGGACTCG